AGGAGGGAGGGAGAAGGGAGGGAAGGAAGAAGGAAGGAGGGAGGGAGGGATAAGGGAGGGAGGGAGAAGGGAGGGAAGAAAGAAGGAAGGAGGGAGGGAGAAGGGAGGGAAGGAAGAAGGAGGGAGGGAGGGAGGGAAGAAAGAAGGAAGGAGGGAGGGAGAAGGGATGAGGGAGGGAAGAAGGAAGGTGGAGGGAGGGAAGGAGGAAGAAGGGAGGGAGGGAAGGAGGGAGGAGGGAGGAAGGAGGGAAAGGTCAAAGGCCGACTTTGACAGGTCAGGTACTGAGAAGGATGCGTGGAGTCGGCTGCTAATCACTCAGCAGATATTTTCTCTGAGAGAGCAAAACTTAATTCTCTGGGGCTGGTGATAAAGGGGGAAACACACACACACACACACACACTCACATGCACTCACACACACACACACAGACACACACATACACACACACACACACACAGACACACACACACACACACACACGTCTTATTGTTGAAGCATGCTCACGTTCTCTCTCTTCTCTCTGATTTTTTTTCTCATCCTTTTTATACCACCTAAGACAAAATTCTCCAGGTAAGGAAAAGGTCCCCTCACAGCTACAGTCACACATTCTCCAAAAACAACCACAAAAAATGTTTTTCCACCTCACCCCACACCTCTCCCCCGACACCTCTTTCTCCCCCCTACACCTCTCCCCCTGCACCTCCCCCCCGCACCCCGCACCCCTCACGTGGCCCCCTTCTGTCCGAGCACCTGGACGTCGCCTTGCCGTCTCTGGGGCACACAACATTGGGGGCTGGGATGTCGTGTGCCCCAACTACTTGTCACCGGACCCCATGTCTGCTGTGCTCTCCGGACAGTGCAGCCTGTGCTCAGTAACCAGGGAAGGGGGAGCAGCCTTCCTCCCGAGGCCCACACACACTTCCCACCCACGACACACTTCCTCCCGTCCCTTCCCAGCCCCCGCTGCATCACCCCAGCGGTGGCCTGAGCTCCGGGGCCCTAGGGCCGGAGCGAGACTCAGAGTCCTGCCCTGGTCCCTCGGACCTGGGGTGCTCAGGGGTCAGGGCTGAGGTCACCGCTGGCCTCGAGGCTGAGCCGGGTTCAGGTCACGAGTGCAGGAGACACTGGCTCTTCCTGGCTCAGAGGCGAGGACTCCAGGTGTGGGGAACCCCAGGCTAGCCCGGGCCCCAGGGCAGAGAAGACGCTGTTTGTCCCTGTTTGCCAGCATCTGGGCCAGCTGCACGGTCCCGGCTGTGCCCTCTGCCCAGACCAGGGGCTGCCCTGTGCCCAGGCAGGTGGTGCCCTCTGCTGGAGATTTCAGGGACAGCCAGGGCTCTGTCCCATCGGCAGCACAGCCTGCCCTCCCCCGCCCCTCCCTGGCTACACAGCCTGCCCTCCCCCTCTCCCCCCACCGCACAGGCTGACCTCCCC